TTTTTCGATCAGTATCGACATTACCATGGCTACCCACGCTTGGTTTGTTCATTGATAATGAGATTGCATTGTTATTTAGAGCTTCCGGTTGTAGGCCATTGTGTATGGTGTTGAACTTGATCGAAAACACCATCTCTGGGGCAAAAGTGCCGATTAGATGTCCCGTAAACGTCGAGCATAACAAAGTTTAAGTTCCAACGGTGTTTGCCTCTTCGGCGGGAGAGGTTTGTTTACAATGACGACCGAACGAGGAAGCGACTACAAACTTTGACAAAACGCAGAACTTATCTCAAATAAAAAACAATCAAGGACTGCCATTAGATAGACCATGAATCGAAACATTGGCGGTGAAGCTTCTAGATCGTACTGCATCAAAGAGCGACATGATCTCGGTCAATGGTGAGATTCCAAGGCAATGCCTTGTGCTGAAGAACGCCTCCCGTCGGAAGCCAGGGAACTTAGCAGTTGAATATACAGTCATGGACTGGGGGAACCTAGGCAACGTCGTGTTCAATTCAAGGTGATGGTGACACAGGATATCGCCATCTATTGTTTGGCTGGAATGCAGTTGCAAGTTGGAGGCCCTTGAGCGTTTGTATGTCCAATGGCGCAGAGGCACTTGGTATGGACGATGGCCTAGGCTTTCTCATTTCCAGGTTGTTTGAGACAACTTCACTTTTTTGTGACCGTGTTGATCCTGAAACGAGACGTCATCTGCGTCAGCTACAGGGGTTGTCGTTTACTGTACAGCTGCCATTGACCGAGACATGTGCTGGAATCCTAGGTTGTTATGGTAGCAACAGGGAATAAGGCAATGATGCTATTCCCTTGCGACACATCGAATTGCTTGAGTTGCGAGGTATACTGTGGCTGTGGCTTTCAAGCCGCGAAGTATGTAACTAGTTATCAATGTTTATTACGTGAATTGGCTCGTGAGAATGCGAGTTGCCAAGTCATAAAGGCGATGAGATCACTCTGAGTGTGGTCAGTGGTCAATCCTCGGCTAGAATCTTATCATGATCAGGAAGTGGGATGAGTGCCGAGAATAAACATGGTTCTATCGTACAATGGACCATCGGTCGCCAGGTCACGTCTCAGAAGTTGGCTGCCACACTCTTTTAGTAGCTCTAGCCGCCAAGGTGTGCCAGGGTAACCGGCTGAGCATGGGTGAAGCTGGATTTAGTGGTTTGATTCTGGTTGCCCCTGGTGATTGTTTACTTTTAGCTCGATCTTACTATCGACCCCAAAGATCCAAGTTATCCACACTGCTGCTCTTGTTGCATCTAGCACCAAAGCTACTCCATTCACACATCCATCCATCCATCCATACATACATACATACAGAACAAGATCAATCAGAGCTTGTACATCAATTGCATCTACCTCATCTTTCGGGAGAGCTCAAACACACAAAAAGAGCACTTCCACAAACCAATATCATTGCCTTACAGGCATAACCACATTTGAACTTATATCGCAAAGTCGACCTCGACTGAGAACGACAACAACTTTCCACTAGCCCGGCGCTCTGTGCTTGCGCTGCGTGAGGTAAGGAACATGAAGTGTAGTGAAGGAGGTGAGAAGTTGACTGACATGCCAAACAGTTTCGGACCTATAGGTTCCCATCGACAATATATCGACCAACGACAATTCCCTTCCGGACTCCCCTTGCGACATTATGCTGTCCAATCCAACAGGACTTCACGCCCGGCAAAAGCAGCACCGGCGTCAAAATTCGACACCGTCTGCTTTTGAGGGCGCCAAGATCCCTAATCTGCCAACTACACAACGACAAACCGCACACCGACGCGGCCTCAGCCTAGATGTTCGACGACAACAGAACCAGAACATCAACTCAGCAGCAACAAGGCAGAACTACATGGTAAGTACGAATACTAACAACACAGGATTAGCCAATATTTCTACGCAGCAAGTTCTGCGAGAAGCGCAGCAGCAACGCATTCAAGCACGCCCGGGCACACAGAACCCTTACGCCAACCTGGCGCCAAGTGGAAGTGAGAACTATCTCATGTCCCCTCATGGAACTCCTCAGACACAACGATTCGACCCGTCCTGCTTTGACCCCAACTCACTTCCCTTTGACCCTTACACTACTGATCTTAACGTGATGATGGGCAAGGGCCAACAGGCTGCATACGGTGACAATATGTCGGGAGGTAAGGAATTTGATATCTTTAACAATGACAGTGCACTTTCAACTCCAACGTTCATCAACTTTCCTTCTGAGGGTTCCTCCGCTCAGGGCTGGTCCTCTGAAGGTGACACCTCCAGTACAAGGAGAACCTCAAGAAGGATAAGTGGTGGCATCCTGGACCGCGTTAACAAGTTTGAGACCTTGGACTCAACGACAAGACCCGCTACGCCTCCTAACCAGAACCAAAGTCAGAGCCAGGCCCAGACCCAGAACACACAAAGTCAGTCGCTCAGCTGGACAATGACAATGCCTGAGACGGCTAACCTTGCGCAAGGTTACTTTCCCCCTACACCAATTGAGACTCCCCACGACCGGTTGGCCAAGGATGAGAGCATGCCAAGTCGGTTCGCTGATGGCTATGATGAGTCTATGGAAGAGACGATCAAGCCCGTGAGGAACCGTGGAGGAAACCGAAGGGCTCAAACCATCTTCCAAGACATCAGACAACATTCTGAGCAAGTCATGTCTAGCCCAGCTCGGTCAGATACTCTTCCCGAGTCATCCTTCAATGGACTGCCAATGTCGACACCTGACTACATGAGCATGAACAGCTTCAACAACGAGTTCATGAAGATCGAGAGCGACTTTGGTCGGGATGACATCCAGGGTCTCAGCCATCAGCTACCACAACAAGTCACTCCCAGCACTCCTCAAATGACACAGTACATGGGATCTTTTGACAACAAGCCTGAACTCCAACCCTATCCCATGGGTGCTCAATCTGTCTCTGGGACCCCCTCTCAGACACCATCTCGTCGCCACTCTCCCCATCGCCGCACTGAGTCAGTCGCTAGCATCGCAAGTGCTGCCAGCATCGCCAGCATCAACATTGAGGAGACCAAGACAGAAACCGGAGTCACTCAGGATGAGATCGCCCAGTTCATTAGTGGCCCAGACGCTAGTGACGGCAAGTGGACATGTACCTATGAAGATTGCGGCAAGAAATTCGGCCGCAAGGAGAACATCAAGTCGCATGTTCAGACCCATCTCAATGACCGACAATACCAGTGTCCCACTTGCAAGAAGTGCTTTGTTCGACAGCACGATCTCAAGCGACACGCCAAGATCCATACTGGAATCAAGCCCTACCCTTGCGAATGTGGCAACAGCTTTGCTCGCCACGATGCTCTTACTCGACACCGCCAACGAGGCATGTGCATTGGTGCTTTCGATAACGTCGTGCGCAAGGTTGTCAAGCGAGGCAGGCCGCCCAAGAAGAGCCGCCCTGATATCGAGACTCGCATGGAGAAGTCGGCGCGAACCCGCAAGAAGAACATGTCTGTCAGCTCAATGTCATCATTCTCTGCTTGTTCTGACAGCTCAGCTGTCAACTCACCAGAACAGTTTATGCTTGATGACATGATGGACATTGGAATGAGTTCACAGAACCAGGCTCTCGCTGCCGTCTCTTCAGCACCAATGACTGGCATCACAGCCGCCGCTTTTCAGGAGTATGCCTCCTCTCCCTCCGCTGGCAGCGCACACTCATATGTGTCCCCGGAGGCCATCATGGAGGGCACTCCCATGCACGCCGCATCTCCTTCCAAGAGCATCGCAAGCCAGTACAACACACCACCTGAGCTCTCGCAATCATCTTCCCCCCCAGCCACCCACTTCTTCGACGTCGACCCCAACACTTCAATCAACAATGACGATCTGACCATCATTCCCGGGACAACAACTTTCGTCACCTCGGCAACCATGGCTGCTTCTCTTCCCCTTGGCCTAAGCAATGCAGACGATGAAATGCTGTATCAATTTGCCAACGACGACGATCTTATCCAACTGGATCGCGACTCCAACATGCTCATGAGCAAGTTTGACGAAGATTTCGACAACGTCGGCATGTTCACCAACAACAATGACGATGTCTTCTTTGGCAGCAACTAGTTTGTGCCCAGCCTTGTTTATTTGCTTTGTTTCGTCTCGCGCAAGCCATGGAACAGTACTTAATCAGCCATGCACTTTTTTGTTTGGATTACACCAATTGAGGTCACTCGTTTTCAGAAGAAGCGACATATTTTCTCACGATGCTCACGCTCACGCTTCTACGTAATACACGCTCGCGGCTATGTACACTAGGGATGGGGAAGAAGACAGTAAAAAAGGGCATGGGTATTTCAACGGGGTTTTTATCATCAGCAGCAATGGATTATTCGGGCAGGAACTGGCGAACCGGAATGGGATTCTCAGGATTATTTGGGGGGGAAATTGATAGAAAGCAAAGGTCTCAACGCGGTTGGGTGTCGGACACCCCCTTGGGCCGCTTGGAGTTTTCAGGTTGAGGCTTTTGCTTTTTGGGGGGATATATGGCGTTTCCCAATGGAATATTCATTGATGATTAACTTTGGTGCCTTGATTAAATGTGATAATGGTCTACTTTGACTCGATGTTTGCAAGTTGATATATAGTCAACAATGCCATGGGAATTTCAACATTGCTTGATTACCAATTTAATTTCAGTTGAGGCTGTTGATTTCCTGCGATGTCTATCAATCGGTTTAGATCAGTTGGAGTTACATCTGGTTTGTTGTTCTGTTATAGACGTTTCATTATGCCTCTATTTTACTCTTGCTCTGTCATGTTTGGTAGATCATCCAGCGTCTCATTGGCTCCACTGATGAGACGCAGCCACATATATTTTGTCTTAGGTAGTCCGAGCTTCCACCTTATACATCCAAAACCTCCGCTAAGACCTTGTTTCTTTCTCAGATCCAACATTACTCCCGTATGTCCTTTCTCTCATAAGCCGTGAGACTTTCTTCTTTCTCACTATTGATCGGCCATGCTTACGCCAACTATTGCCGTAAAAACTAGCTTTCTCTATGCTGCCGGCAATACACCAGCTACCAGCCTGACCAGATCAGTACCACAAGGCCAAGACGTAGCTGTTCTGTCGCTTGGCTGTGGTGATCTGCGCAACATTCTCTATACAACATACCTGGAGAAAGGCTTGCGTGAGTACAAGCCAATCTTTCCTCAAGACTTGAAGCTGATCGGATTAGCTCAGAGAAAAATCGACTTCACTTGTTGCGATGTCGTCGAAAAGATTATTGGTATGTGACTTACCCTGCATCACAGCACCACAACATGTTAACCAGAAATTAGCTCGCAATGCTTTCTTTTTGATATTCCTGCTTGATGAGGATTGCAAGCTGAGTGATGAGCAGCTTTGGAATGTCTACTACCATTTGTTCGTGGACGAAGAGACTGCGAAAATTGTATCAGCTACTGCTACTAAACTGCTAAGCGTTTCCAAATCCCTTGATGAATGGAACGGCAGCATATGGGGGAAATCTATCCGATTCTGCGATGCCGATACTCTATCAGATATCCGTCGTGTTTGGTTGTCCATCAAAGCTGCGGCAGCCAAGTGCGAATCCAGTAGCTATACGGAGACATTTCAGCAGAACATACAACCATCTAAGGACATCCACGACCAAAAGCTTGGTGAAGGGCGCCTCAACTTGACAGCTATGCGTTCCGCAGCGCCACTCTCCATACAAGCGGGAGCAAAACTCGGGGAAATATCCGCTCAATACTGGAAAAATGGTACAGTCACACCTCGCCAAGCCAAAGATAAGTTGCCAAACCCGCTCCTTGCAAGTCTTCTCTCCGAGAACGACATTCTGCACTATGCTAGTGATCCAGTCCTGGGCTTTCATCTGGCCACGGCCTATGCTGCTCTTCTCGAAGGCTCTCCCCTCGAGCCCAAGATCAGAGGAAAAGAATTTGTAGCCTCAGCTGCTGCTATGACCCAGTTCAACGAATGGATCTCTGCTTTCAAGTCGTTGAAGAGCAATATTGTCATTCGCTTTGCCGTTGCGGATGCCTTGGCGCTCTGTCACAGTTTACAGGCGGCGCATACAACAGCAAAACCAGCCAATCTATACCGGCGAACCTGGGACCCACGACCATTGGTCTTGGATCCAAAGGACTATGGGAAGGGTGGTTCAGGGCCATCGGCGTTCGATATGATCGACACCTCAAACCTCTGCGACCACATCGGAGCGCTCAACATTCTCTTCGCAGCAGGGCCTCTTCTCAAAGATGAGCCTTGGGCGTCGCTTTTCACAGAATTGCTAATCAGGCCTGAGGGTGATCAGAAGAATGCTCTAGACAAGATTCTCTCTGGACATGCGCCGACCATCTCACTTCTGCTTGGTTTCAGTCCTGTTCAGTACTGGACTAATGCCAAAGTTGAGTCCCATGTTGACGAGATTTTCCTTGGACTCATGAATGAAGCAAAAGGAGAAACGCAAACCCGAAACCGACTGGCTTGGAAGCGAGACAACCGGTTTTCGGGTCAGGCCCGCCACGGGAAGCTGCATATCGACTCAAAGCAGCTTATCAAATTGCTTTCACCACTCTATGACTATATGTTTGAGGCTGAGAACATATCACAGTCAAGTGTGGGACAGAGGTCAAACACATATGGTCACTTTATCCGTACAAGCTTCGCTACCGTGCTCAAGGTTGTCATGGCCCGGGTTGCAACAGACTGGCCATCCATGTGCTCGGCTCTCATCGACTCTATTGCCCAAGATCATCGCTTTTTGCTGGCTAGCAATGGCATGCAAGACCTGTGCCTTCAGCTTCACCTTCTTGGTGTAAACACCGAACCATGGATTATCCAGGAGAGCAGAAGCCTTCCCCAAAATGGAGGTTTCAATCGCTGGAAATCCCTGCCACCAGCAGTCGCTGTTACGGTAGTTGTACCTAGACCGGCCATTGCTCGATTGTATAAACATCAAAATAACCCTCTTGGGCTTGCATCACCGCCACTTGTCGGATCGGTAAGATCCAGTCATAACGCTACCGAAGGATGGCAAAATACATTTGGAGATATCCAAATTTCCTTTGGTAATGTTAAAACCAACAAGATGTCTGATGAGGACGAGTTTCAAGTGGTAATCGAAAGAGATCAGAATGGGTGGGCCGGAGACTCTCCTCTCGTTGCATCTTTCTATGTGCCCACTTCAACGCTGCAGAACGAGCCCAACTCGGCATTGGTAGGACTCTGTGTTCCACCTACGGGGCAGAACTCCTTGATCTATGGTCCCATTCTGGGAATGACCATGACTGTCTTTGAAACGCGCACTGACGACAAAGCGACCGTATTCGTGACAAAGCATTTACCTGGGCACGACGGTTATCCTGCCGTGTGTAGTGCTGTGAAGTCTCTCGAGAATACGGTCAACCAGGGTCAGGATGACAAGGCCGCCAAGATTCTGCTCGAGATATCACCTTCTGAGTCTGTCATCTCTACCGTTACTGGACACTTGGACATTACTTCGAAGAAAGGCAAGGGGTTCCTTAAGAACAAGGCCCCGATCGACTTTCGTCAGAAGAGCCCCTTCGTCATTGATATTGTTTTCGGCAAGCATGATCTTATTTGCCCTATCAACTTTCCGGTGCCTGTCACCAAGGATGGAATGAAATCTCGAGTTGCTCGAACGACAGGCTACATCGAATTGATAGTGCCACTGGCACAGCCTGGCTCTTCTCCTATACTGCTGGACTTTGCATACCCTTCAGCAATCTCCTCGTCTGGCGTTCCGGCTTGTCTCAACATGCCACACCTGAATCTCGACAACCTCCCTGTCATTGATTTGGAAAACAAGGACCGAAACCGATGGGTGACAACATTGACATCAATGCAGTTTTCAGCCCGAGAAAAATACCTGCGTACTGTACGCGACGAAAGCGGAATCTCACATGACCCGATGGTCAACTTCAAGGAATCTGTGTTTACCATGTTTATGATCGCCACTGGCTTACAGGCTGGCCAGACCGGTTTGTTTGCAATCAACCACCCGAAGCGAGGTGGTATACACATGCTTGTTTTCGTCTCCGCCATCCGGATTGATGGCGATGCTGCATCTGTCGTTATTGATGCTGCTATTATCCCATTCACGATGGATCTTATCACATCGGGCCGGATGGAATCCTTCCTTCTTATTCTCCGGGAACTTGAATGTGGCAGTATCGATGTAGACGATGCAGAACTATGCCTTTGGAAGAAGGCTCTCCCATCTATGGTTGAGAGGTGCCGTACCTGGTCTCATGGCAGGAGTTGCGAGTATAAGAGAAAGGGGGCGACTATTCCACTGAGTCTCAAAGATGGTGAACAGGTTCTGTGCTCGTGTGGTAATGGGCTCCTACCAGAGAACTTCGTATCTCTCCCTGAGTGGGAAAACGCAGCGCCGAATGCAGTCCGTATTGCGATCAGCCCGACTTATGCAATTCCGTTCAACGAAGAAGTCGTTGACCCTGCCGACGTTCCCAAGATGCGCAACCCAGTGACTCGGATAGAAAGATGTCGAAGCTGCGGGAAACCAGAGGACCAGGCGGGCATTACTTTAAAGAAGTGTTCACGTTGTCAAAAGGTAAAATATTGCTCCGGGGAGTGTCAGAAGCGAGATTGGAAAAAGCATAGAGCGGAGTGTGACTAGATGAGTTGCAAGTGAATATGTGTATTGGTCTGAAGTAAGCCAAGAGAGACACTGGACCTGAGAGGGAAAATGAATGAATAAAACAAAAAGAGACTTCGGATCTTCGATCAGTGTGTCAAGAGATTGATCAAAAGGACGGTTTCTTGCCCCTCTTCACACCCTGGTAAACCTTAGCATGATTCAAGCTCGTAGACACATTAGATCGAAGAAGGTAATGCTGGATAGTAAAGGTCTAGGATATATATTAGAGGAGAGTAAAGTGATAGACCGGAAGATTAGGTCCCTGGATCTTAATGGCCGGTACAGAAACAACTTAGTTATGATATCGGAATAGCTTCATACCACCTTTGAGAAAAGTCTCCCCTGATTGGTTGCTCACCGAGCCCCTCGGTCCTCACCTTACACCGCTTTCCACCCCTTGGAGGGGCAGAAAAAATGTCCCAGCCTAGCCCATCCGCTATTGCCTGTGACCAGCTGGTGCAAGCTTGTGCGATTACGAAATCGCGAAACCTCCTACACCAGCACCGCTTTTTCAAGCCTCGACCTATTTGATCTCGATATAGCCTTTGTGCACTGAGATTTACAATCATGTCGGCAGCACAACTCCTCAACCCCAAGGCTGAGTCCCGAGTACGTCGATACCAATAACTATAAACCCCCCCGCAGCCAAAAGTGGCCTTGCCTTGCAACTTGCTAACCCGCTTGTCGCAGAGGAGGGGCGAAGCTCTGAAGGTCAACATTAGCGCTGGTGAAGGCCTACAGGATGTTTTGAAGTCCAATCTGGGCCCTCTGGGCACCATTAAGATGTGCGTGTTATCATAATTGTCACATAGCGATGTGAAGCTAACAGTCTCAGGCTTGTTGACGGTGCGGGACAGGTACAAACTCCTATCAAAATACCCCACGGCGACCCCTAAACTGACCGACGACCCCAGATCAAGCTGACCAAGGATGGAAACGTTCTCCTTCGAGAGATGCAAATACAAAACCCTACCGCCGTTATGATTGCTCGAGCCGCGACCGCTCAGGACGATATTTGCGGTGACGGAACCACCTCCGTGGTGATGTTGGTTGGTGAGCTTCTCAAGCAGGCAGACCGATACATTTCTGAAGGACTGCACCCTCGTATCATCACCGATGGTTTCGAGGTTGCCAAGGTTGAGGCTCTTAAGGTGAGTTTTTGATACCTCGTCCCCCCTGAAACTTTGGCTCAACGTCGTAGTTCCTCGACTCTTTCAAACTCGCCAAGGAAGTTGACCGAGAACTCCTGCTCAATGTCGCCCGAACATCGCTTGCCACCAAGCTCAACTCGACTTTGGCCGCCAAGCTTACACCTGATATTGTCGATGCCGTTCTTGCTATTTACCAGGCACCCGCGAAGCCCGATTTGCACATGGTGGAGATTATGAAGATGCAGCACCGAACAGCCGCCGACACTCGGCTGATTCGTGGACTGGCCCTTGATCACGGTGCTCGTCACCCTGATATGCCTAAGCGGCTCGAGAACTGCTACATTCTTACCCTCAACGTCAGCCTGGAGTATGAGAAGACTGAAATTAATTCCAGCTTCTTCTACTCTAGCGCTGAGCAGCGTGATAAGCTTGTCGAAAGTGAGCGTCGTTTCGTCGATGCCAAGCTCAAGAAAATCGTCGAGCTCAAGAAGGAGCTTTGCGGTAACGACGGCACAAAGAACTTTGTTGTTATCAACCAGAAAGGCATCGATCCTCTTTCTCTTGACGTTCTTGCCAAGAACAATATTCTTGCTCTCCGACGTGCCAAGCGAAGGAACATGGAGCGCCTTCAGCTTGTTTGCGGTGGTGTTGCTCAGAACAGCGTTGACGACCTGTCCGAGGATGTTCTGGGCTGGGCTGGCCTTGTCTATGAGCAGGCGCTCGGTGAGGAGAAGTTCACTTTTGTTGAGGAGGTCAAAGACCCCAAGTCCGTTACTCTGATGATTAAGGGCCCCAACGCTCACACCATTGCTCAAGTGACAGATGCTGTCCGAGATGGTCTGCGAAGTGTTTACAACATGATTGTCGACAAGTCCGTTGTTCCTGGAGCTGGTGCTTTCCAGGTTGCCTGTGCTTCTCATCTCAAGAGTGATGCTTTTGGCAAGTCTGTCAAGGGCAAGGCCAAGTGGGGTGTTGAGGCATTCGCTGATGCTCTTCTTATTATTCCCAAGACTCTGGCTGCCAACGCCGGTCTTGACATCCAGGATGCTCGTAAGTTGACTATTCTCCAAGTATTCACGGCCAAGATCTAACTTGCTATAGTTGCGGACTTGCAGGATGAGTATGCTGACGGCAATGTCGTTGGCCTTAACCTCGAAACCGGTGAACCCATGGACCCCGAGCTGGAGGGTGTCTTTGACTCTTACCGAGTTCTGCGAAATTGCATCGCCTCCAGCTCCAGTATTGCATCTAACCTCCTTCTATGTGACGAGTTGTTGAAGGCTCGACAGATGGGTAGAGCAGGCGGACCTGGGCCTGGCATGGATGGACCTAATGATCACATGTAGGAGATACCACATTAAAATTGAGGCTAGACAAAAGGCTCTGGGGCGTAATATACACAATTACGACTTATTTTATGACTCAAGCATGTTTATAGCATTTGTGATACGTAGGTAGTCTACATGGGTGAGTGCATCACGGAATGATGGTTTGTAGTTGAACATTTCTATTGATGCGCTAAGCCCCGCATTGTGACAGACAGACAGACAGACAGCTTTTTTGTACAGAAAAAAAAATATTTACCCCACCACCAATCACTTAAATCGAGCCCATCAATATCAACATCATGGCTTCGTACGATTCCGATTCCTCGGATGGCGAATTCGAGGAGACAAACGTGCTCCTGGGATATGCCTCTAAAGAAGCAGACGAAGACACTGTCAGCAAACTCGGAGGCCGTCCCGTACGTCTTTGGCTTGTCCCGCACCAGACAAAACTGTACCGACTAACAGCGAAATCAGGACTGGTTGGACGAGAATGCTCCCAGCGCAGCCTACGCACGATGCAAAGTCTGCAAGGATTTTATGGCTTTGATCCTACAGCTCAACGGCGAACTCCCCGAACGATTCCCTGAGCATGAGCGACGAATTTATGTCTTCGCCTGTAGAAGACAGACTTGCCGGCGCAAAGATGGCAGCATCCGCGCACTGAGAGGTCTGCGGGTATGGAAGGAGGAAGCATCCAAAGAGCCCAGTCAAGAGAAGAAAGTTGAAGAGGAAAAGCCAAAGAACGATGGGCCTGGATTAGGGGAGACTTTGTTTGGTTCCAAGGGATTGGGAAGTGCATCTGGCGCAAACCCATTCTCTAGCAATGCGAACCCATTCAGCAACTCCAACAGTTCTGGAAACCCATTTAGCTCTGGATCTGCGAACCCGTTTTCCTCTTCAAATACACAGCCTGAACCTGTCAAACCTGCATCTCCCGAGCCAGCAACAACATCCCTCAGCAAAACATTTGCAGAATCTCTCAATATTAAGGATACACCGGTGTCGCCACCTCAACCTTCAGAGCCCTGGCCCACCGAAGATGCTCAGGCCCAGCCGTATCCTACTCTCTATCTAGCTGACGCCGATTTCGAAACTCTGGAACCGAATGCCACGAATGTTCCCACCAACGCCCGTCTTGAAGATGCTGATGCCGCGGAACCTTCTATACTGGACCGCGAGGCTTTCGAGTCGAGCATGGACGCTACGTTCCAGAAGTTTGCAGATCGTCTGGCGCAGAACCCTGAGCAAGTTATTCGTTATGAGTTTGCAGGCACTCCTCTCTTATATTCAAAGAAGGATGCTGTTGGTGAGGCTGTGAACAAGGGTGCTATCCCCAGGTGCCCCAACTGTACGGCGAGAAGAGTTTTTGAGGTGCAGTTGACACCAAACGCTATTGCAGAGCTTGAGGCAGACGACATGAGTTTAGAAGGTATGGAATGGGGTACGATAATTGTTGGTGTATGTGAGAAAGATTGTTCGCCTCGAGGAACACCAGTTGGAGAGGTTGGATACCTTGAGGAATGGGCTGGCGTGCAATGGGAGGAGCTGTCCAAGGGGAACTGAATACCGGAACAATTTGGAAAATAAATATAACGAATCAAGAGCACTGTAATCAAGCCACATTGTCGGTCTACATGAGCCAGATACGCTGTAGTAAATCGCAAAGTTCTATGCATTTCTAGATCCTTGGATTGCTCTGCAATGTCATGTCCGATTAAACGCCTAGTTTTTGTAACCCCCGCCATGCTACCATGTGAGCCCTTCCTAACCCCTCCGCATCATCAACCGTGATGTCCGAATCCAATCAGATGGTGGGGGAAGTGCGCGAAAAATCCCTTGTGATCCGCTAAAACTCTCATCAAAAAGCTCAAACAGTGTCCTCCCACGACCGTCGGATTACCCTGGAGAACTGCTCGACGTTGACGTCCTCACGGATCTCAGCCTTCTTGGCCTCGTTGTCAGGGTTTGAGGGAACCTTGACGCTGCCATCACCCTCGACAGTCCAGCCACAAACCTCGGTAACGAACTTCTTGGTGGCATCCTCGTTGAGGCCGAGCCATGACTCGAGATGGGTGATCTGGAGCTCACGGAAAGCCTGTGAGACGAGAAGGGCGATGCGGTGTCGAACCACGTCCTCAAAGTCAGGAATGTCGGCAATCAAGTCGGCAACCATGTCGTCGTCGAGATCGGCCCAGAAATGGGAGTACTGAGCACCCTCGAGCTGACCGTTGAGGGATCGGAGCTTGGTGATAGCTTCGCCGAGGTCGCCAGTGACAGCAGCGGAGGGGTTGATAAGGTGAAGAGCGAGAGAGAACTGTGCCGAGGGGAACTGGGTCATTGTCTTGACCAAGACGTTGGTGATCACCTCATCCTTGATACGGTCGGGGTTGAGCTGGTATCTTGGGGAAGTTAGCCTCGGGTCGAGCAGTGATGATGCCAAAGGTTGTTGGAGTAATTAGGCATTTCAGTCGCACTAAAGTTGACTTCAAGTGCGGCCAAGTTGAGAACAACCCGCCACACTAGTCAGGTAATAGGAAACGTTGACAAACGGTCATCATAAAAGAGCCCGAGGTGTACTGTGTATATATGTATCTTAAGAGGACTCACAGTTTCAGCAGTGTTCGGTTGGCATTGCAGTCAGTGAACTTCTGCTCGCATTGGTCTTGGAGATAGGTCTCAAGGGCGCCGACAGCCTCGGGGTTGTATCGTTCGAGTCCGTTGATGATGGACGAGATCTCGCTGGGTCTCTCAGGAGGATCTTCACCGTTCATTATGGCTGATTTATAGGGAGAGGAGGGGTCGTTATAAGGGGTGATGTTCTGGGGGAGAGGGAGGTTCGCGATGGTGGGGCAGAACGAAGATTTCGACGGTTGTGTGAGTGAATCGCTTGTGCGTGCCGAAATGGTTTAGCGTTGAGTGAGCGGGCTGGTTCCTGATTTTTCGAAGCTCTATAAACTCAGTCACGTGCCTTCGCGCCAACGTCGTCATAGAGCCCGCCGCGTTTATACTTGTTGATTAACAAGGACGTGAAGAGGCGTATTGCTCTATTTACATAAGCTTTGTGGTGGATTCACTTTGTCTCTCTTCTGGAATCCTTCTTTTACTAGGGGTGGTAGTCTCAGTCAACCTAGACATCAATGCAAATATGCCCAGTCCAACCAAGAAACGGAAGCTCAACAACGGCACCAAATCATCAACACCAGCCCGTGGTCTTGAGTACTTCTTTTCAAAGCAAAAGCAGAATGACACAGAGTCAAGTAAAAATTCAAAGACAGAAGAAAACGCTGAAGGTATATCAAGTGATGCTGCTACAGAATTAACAGACGAAGAATTAGCTAGGAAGCTTCAAGCAGAATGGGATCAGGAAGTTGCAAACACACCACAGAACACACTACAAGCGCAGGCACTTCAGCTCCCGAGCAAACACATCGAGTCAGTATCTCGAGATGAAAGCCCTAGTCCTGCAGGACCAAAGCCGAAGCCCCAAGTCACCCTCCCAACATCTCTCAACAAGCCTGGCATACTCACCTCTACAAAACCTACACTCAGTCTTCAGGCAGCAGGCATGGCTGAAGATACGACCACCTCATCAATAGCTCTGGACGAAACTCCTCTGACATTCGACCCATCTGAGTATCTGGACCAACTGAAGGAGCACTGGGCCTCTGAAGGCGGCAATGCGTCATATGCCCTTCTCACGCGCTGCTTTATTCTCATTAACGGCACTACAAGCCGGATTAAGATTGTAGATACCCTTGTAAACTGCTTAAGAGTTCTTATTGAGGGAGATCCAACCAGCTTACTACCAGCTGTATGTCCGAATCCACATCTCCTGAGCTTCTCTGACTTTCGCAGGTATGGTTGGCAACGAATGCAATATCACCTCCTTATATCTCCATGGAACTCGGACTGGGCGGCTCAGCGATATCAAAAGCATTACGGAACGTTTGTGGACTAGACAACCGAGCTTTAAAGGCCATTTACGACAAATATGGAGATGCCGGAGATGTGGCTTTTGAAGCCAAGAAAAAGCAGAGCTTCACTCTCAGAAAACCAAAACCCCTCACGATCAAGGGCGTCTATGAAACCCTGGTGAAAATTGCCAGCAGTCAAGGGCAGGGTAGTTCCGAAACGAAGCAAAGATTGGTAGATCGGTTACTGCAAGACGCTCGTGGTGGTGAAGAGAGTCGATTCATTGTGCGAACACTTTCTCAACATGTAAGAAAGCCATGTCAATACTCGTCGTCACCTTCTAACAGGCAACAGTTGCGTATTGGTGCTGTCAAAACAACGATGCTAATTGCTTTATCACGGGCCTTTTTGCTCTCACGCCCACCGGGGGCCGACTTCCCTCTGAAATCGGTATCTGATCTTGCAAAGCTCAAAAAAGAAGATTTGGCTGAAATTTGGGGTCGGGCTGAGGAGATAGTCAAGGCTTGCTTTGCGAGGCGCCCGAACTACAACGATCTTGTGCCCGTTCTCCTAGAGATTGGAATTTCCGAGGAATTACTAATACGGTGTGGTCTTACCATGCATATACCGCTACGACCTATGCTCGGGAGCATCACCAGAGACTTGTCCGAGATGCTCACAAAGCTACAGGGCCGAGACTTTGCGTGCGAGTTCAAGTACGATGGACAGAGAGCGCAAATACACTGTGATGAGGGTGGAAAAGTCAGCATCTTCTCGCGTCACTTGGAGGTCATGACAGACAAATATCCTGACTTGGTTGAGCTGATACCTAAGATACGCGGAGAGGGCGTTGATAGCTTCATCATGGAAGGTGAAGTTGTCGCAGTTGATCGTGAAACTGGTGAGCTCAAGAATTTCCAAGCACTCACAAACCGAGCAAGAAAAGATGTCGAAATCGGAAGTATCACTGTGGACGTTTGCATGTTCGCGTTCGACTTGATGTATCTGAATGGGCAACCGTTGCTAGATCGGCCCTTTCGAGAAAGAAGAGAACTTCTACGATCACTCTTCACAGAAATACCGCATCACTTTAGTTGGGTACAAAGTCTTGATGCTACGTCTGCGGACTCCGAATCTGTTTTGGAGTTTTTCAAGGCTGCCACGGATATTAAATGCGAGGGTATCATGGTAAAGATCTTGGATAATTTGCCTACAGTGCCATACACAGAAGAGGCAGATGGCGATGGGTTGGACGGGACGAACAAATTACTAACACCAAAGTCCAAGTCCAAAGGAAAAGCAAAATCGAGAGGAAAGAAGGATGAAGATGGAGAGACCAAAACGAAAACGAGACGCAAACCTTTACTGGCTACCTACGAGCCAGACAAACGACTTGACTCCTGGCTCAAAGTCAAGAAAGACTATAACGCAAGTTTTGATACTCTCGATCTTATTCCTGTCGCCGGGTGGCATGGGCAAGGACGCAAGGCGAAATGGTGGTCACCTATTCTCATGGCGTGCCGTAACGAGGAGACAGGGTCCCTGGAGGCAGTATGCAAATGCATGTCTGGATTCACAGATGCATTCTACAAGGCCAATCGGCAATTTTATGACGATGGCGAAGAGAGCGGTGAACCCAAGAACACCAGAACTAAACAGCCCGCCTTCGTCGAATATTCAGGTCCAAGACCAGATATCTGGTTCGAACCACAAGAAGTGTGGGAAATGGCATTTGCAGATATAACATTGAGCCCGACTTATACTGCAGCGATTGGTCTTGTGAGTGATGAGAGGGGACTCAGTTTGAGATTTCCAAGATTCATGAAGAAACGGGATGACAAGAGTCTTGAAGAGGCGAGCACCAACGATTTCTTGGCTGGTCTTTGGCGAAAACAAGAAGCCAAAGCGGAAACCACAAAGAGCGAGACAGGGGTAGGGGCAGAAGAGGCGGAAGAAGTCGATGATTGATTGAGTCTCAGCTACATATCAATCTTGATTAATATTAGTGATTAAAGCTCTAAGTATTCGAATGGCATCCTTAGAGCGTAATGACGACGATAATGATCTGTCCATCATTTACCAGCATTTAATCTTTGGGCGATGAGACTGAAAACAGCGATTGATCCCATGAAAAGGACGGCGTTATAGAACTGCTTTCAATCAGTATGTGTCGCTGAGACAAACCGGAAGACGACCCACCGCTTTTCTGGAGACATCTCGTTCTTCGTCGTCAGTTCGTGACTCGATAAAGAGTCGACGGAGGTTTGGCAGCGCCTGTTATTTCTTAGATGTCGTTATCCTACGGGAACAAAGACGGCATTCTTTACCATTGTTCGATTTGGCGAGGACTCTTATTCCAGGGAACCCAGATAACACTATGGCTTCATCGAGAACACCCTAGATAATTCTTTTTTCTTCGTGTCTGTGGCTGATGCCTCTCGAGACTTGCGATGATGTTGAGATCCAGTTCAACAAGAGCTGATAGTTAAAGGGTGACTAAGCCTGGACAACGTATTTGCGTTGAAGGTGGCCAAAAATAAATAAATTGTTAACCATTGAAGCCACGCTACACGCGAACGGCAATCAGGCGGAAGTTTAGAGTTAGGGGGTTAGCCTAGCCTCGATCCACTAACTGGAGCTTACAGGGTCGCTGTAAAACGCCCCCCTTTGGTGGTTTGGGCTGCGACCCAGTGGCCTAGACCTATCTTCGTGGCCTTGGCATATTTGGTGACAGTTACATCTGCCTTGCTCATACGTACCAAGATTGACCAACTCCCTTTCCGATTATCTCGACTACGTCGCCTATCCTAGACGCATCCTCCGATACGCGATAATATCGGTGGATGCAGACTTTCGATACTTGAGGACAAGTAGCTTGTACTCGGCCTGACCAATTCGACTAGACTGTCACCGCCGTCTTCGACGACCCAATCTCTCGTTCCTCTCCAACCTTCGAACTCCTGTCCCGTGCCCCTCCAAGAACCTCGACGATGGCGGTAAATCGCATTCGCGGCGCCTTTGCCGTGCCTCGAAAGGGCGAAACCTTTGAGCTCCGCGCTGGCTTGGTTTCTCAGTATGCATACGAGCGCAAGGAGTCGATTCAGAAGACCATCATGGCCATGACGTTGGGCAAGGATGTGTCGGCACTCTTCCCAGATGTGCTCAAGAACATTGCGACCGGCGACCTTGATCAGAAGAAGCTTGTATACCTCTACCTGATGTATGTGGACGAAGTCGAACAGCTGCTGGAGCTGTCTTCTCTAGTTCTATAGCTGCTCGTAAGATGAAGAGCTGACACGATGGCCAGGAACTACGCAAAATCGCATCCCGACCTTTGCATTCTCGCCGTTAATACATTTGTTCAAGACTCCGAAGACCCAAATCCGCTGATACGAGCACTGGCAATCCGAACAATGGGATGCATCAGAGTGGACAAAATGGTGGATTATATGGAAGAGCCCCTGAGAAAGACGCTGCGGGACGAATCACCGTACGTGCGCAAGACAGCTGCCATTTGCGTCGCCAAACTCTTCGACCTAAACCCTCAGATGTGCATCGAGAACGGCTTCCTGGAGGCCCTTCAGGAGTTGATTGGCGATCCCAACCCCATGGTCGTCGCCAACTCAGTGACCGCTTTGTCTGAGATTACCGAGACGGCGCCCGAGACGAGGGCACTGATTGTGACGCCTGTGACGCTGAAGAAGTTGCTTATGGCCCTTAACGAGTGTACCGAATGGGGAAGAGTCACTATCCTGACAACCCTGGCCAACTACTCTGCGTCAGATCAGAAGGAGTCGGAGCACATCTGTGAGCGTGTTGCACCTCAGTTCCAGCATGTTAACCCTAGTGTGGTTCTTGCTGCTGTCAAGGTTGTTTTCATTCACATGAAGGCTCTCAACCCTGAGCTCGTGAGATCATACCTCAAGAAAATGGCTCCTCCCTTGGGTATGTATATGACTACAAGATATTAAGGTTACACACTGACCGAATCCAGTTACCTTGGTTGCTTCTCAGCCTGAGGTCCAATACGTCGCTCTGCGAAACATTGATCTCCTGCTCCAGGCTAAGCCAGATATTCTGAGCAAGGAGATGCGCGTCTTCTTCTGCAAATACACCGACCCTCCCTATGTTAAGCTTCAAAAGTTGGAAATTATGGTTAGGATAGCCAACGAGCATAACTACGAACAGCTTCTCGCCGAGTTGAAGGAGTATGCTCTTGAAGTTGATATGGATTTCGTCCGAAGAGCCGTTAAAGCAATTGGCCAAGTAGCCATCAAGATTGAGAATGCCGCCGAGAAGTGCGTCGCGGCCCTCGAGGATCTCATCTCTACCAAGGTCAACTACGTTGTCCAGGAGGTGATTGTCGTTATCAAGGATATTCTGCGAAAGTACCCTGGCTACGAGGGCGTTATTCCTACACTTTGCAAGCATATTGATGAGTTGGATGAGCCCACTGCCCGCGGATCTCTCATCTGGATTGTTGGAGAATATGCTGAGAAGATCAGCAATGCAGACGAGATCTTGGAGAGTTTCGTTGAGTCCTTCATGGAAGAGTTCACACAGGTAAGTCACATACATAGTAATGGTAATTAGGGCCGAACTGACAGAATTCGCAGACGCAACTGCAAATATTGACAGCGGTGGTGAAGCTGTTCTTGAAGAAGCCTGGAAGCAACCAGGGCCTTGTTCAAAAGGTTCTTCAAGCAGCGACAGCGGAGAACGATAACCCCGATATCCGCGACAGGGCATATGTCTACTGGCGTCTTCTCTCCTCTGATCCCGAAGTTGCTAAAGTGAGAAATTCGTCTAAAGGATGATTGGAATAGTTGCTAACTACGTTTCTCAGAACATTGTTCTATCTCAAAAGCCCACGATCACGACAACCATGACAAGCCTTCCTCCGGCTCTTCTGGAGCAACTCCTCACTGAACTCTCCACTCTCGCTTCTGTGTACCATAAGCCTCCTGAGTCGTTCGTGGGTAAGGGTCGTTTCGGCGCCGATGAGATCCAGCGAGCAGCTATCCAAGAACAGCGACAAAACGCTGCCGAGAACCCTATCGCTGCTTCAGTCGCTGCCGCCTCGTCCAACGGATCTGGCGGTGCTCCTCAAAACAACATTGAGAATTTGTTGGATATCGACTTTGATGGCGCCGCGCCTGCATCTCAGGAGCAGAACAGTGCTTCAGCAACTCCCGACAGAGTGGCCAGCCCATCTGCTGGTGCGCCTTCAGGTGCCATGGCTGATATGATGAGCATGTTTGATGCGCCGGCGCAAGCTTCTGGAGCTCCTGCACCTGCTGCAGGTCCCAGCAACAACATGAACGACTTGATGAACGGTTTCGAAGGATTGAACTTTGGTGGCTCGTCAGCAGGCGAGCCCCTACCAGCAGCAATGCAGCTACAACAAGCCCAAGGCGGAGCTCCTCAACAGCCCAAGAAGGACAGTGAAGACTTGCTAGGTCTTTTGTAGATGCATAAACGTATACATGAATTTCAAGCCAAGAGATGGCCATTGGTTCACGAGAGTATGGGGACGCGTTGGTAGGAAAAGAGGATGAATGCCTTGATGCAGGTTATGGTGTTGGCGCATACAAACACATCTTGTTGTTTCCGCGTTGTACGCTTGCCAAATAAAGATGCTCTAATTATAAACTCGATTCCTTGGCTTTCTTGTTATTTGGTGATGTACAGCGGCATAAAGACCGCTTGCGTTCGGATATCGTTATCTAGACCCTCCGTTACATTCTCGCCCTACCATTCCATTCCTATGCTTGTCGCGTGCCCTTTTTATGCAGAAACTCCATGTAGTATAACCCCAACATCGTGGAAGATAAATAAAAGGCGATCGATGGCTACGCTTGCGCGGTATCATTGGCTGCGCTCGTCTTTGCGTACTCCTCGGGTGTCTGGCACTTGGCGGTCCAGGCGTGGATAATGGCGATTTCATCCTTGAGGGCGGCGTTGACGAGGCGGTGGCGCTTGAGAGAGTTGAGGCCCTGGAACTGAGGAGAGACGATGACAGAGTTGAAGGCTTGACCACAGCCGCCTACAATATCCTCATGTTAGTACTAATATTGGATTCTACGCCGTGATCGGCTTGGAGGGGTTCGCGGGGTAGAATAGAGTAGAAAAGAACTGACCCGACATGTCTGTGACTTCAACGTGAGTAGCCTCGAGGCGCTGCTTGATGGCCTCACGTAGAGACTCGTCTGTGATTTGCGACATTGTTGTGTTTCTTTTTTGTTTGAGAAAGGGAGATATTAAGGTATGGAAGTAAAACGAAAGTAAGAGGTTGATTGATTGATTGATTGATTGATTAGATATCAATCGTGGGGTAAAATGCACAGTGTGAGGCGGCATCTGACCTCGAGCCGCAGTCTATGGGAAAACGCACGTCACTTGACCCATACCACCAAGAATCAACACTGAGTCACATATGGAAGTTGATATAATTTATCTGGGATTTTATTAATCCTTTGCGCTTTAACTCTTCAATCGGACTTAAACTATTTGAGATCATTGACATCCAAGATTGTAAAAGGATCCTTGTCGTACTTGCTCACCACGACCTCCACCTGGGGAACATTCTCCTTGATAGCAGCCTCTAACTTGGGTTTGAGTACTTCCTGAAGATATCCTCTTTCAGAATTGCTGTGAAAGACTTGGACAAGCGTTTGTCCCTGCTGAATAGCTCTCAAAGCTGAATGATGGCTGGTCTCGCCAGTCACCAAAAGATCAACCTCGGCCTTCTTGAGCACATCATACCCGCTACCCGCGCAAACACCAAAGCTGCTAATCTTGGTAGTCTTGACATCAGCACCAACAGGGCTTGCTACCATAACATGCTTGAGGCCTCCGAGCTTCTCCGCTAGACGAAGAATGATCTCGGAGAGAGAAACGGCATTGTCGAAGCGGCCGATGGCACCGTAGCCTGCGCCAGAGTGACTGGGGGGAGCAGAGCTACAGGGGATTGCGACAGAGCGTTGGCTTTGGTGAGGGCCAGAAACGATATCTGCAAGCCAAGTGTTGAGTCCTTCGGGAGCGGCATCGACTGCAGTGTGAGGGCAGTAGACAGCAATACCAGCCTTGGCAAGGCGTAGGAGAGTAGCTTGCTGAGGATCTCTGTTGGTGATGGACTTGAGGCCCCCGAATATGAAGGGATCTAGCATTGTTTTAGTAAATTCCGAAACCCGAATCAACATATGTGACGAAGGCTTACGATAGCTAACAATGACACTAACATCCTGCTCAATAGCATCGACGGCGACTTGGTAGGTCAGGTCATTGGTCACCAAGACCTTCTTTGTCTTCTTGTCATCATTTTCTGAGTTTCCTACCAAGAGCCCGACGTTGTCCCAGCTTTTGTCTGCGATTTCCTCGGGGTATAGCTTCTGCATAGCTGCAACTACTGCCTTTGTGAAGGTTGAAGATTCAACCTGCCAGGCGCCCCAAGCACCGTTGTCGGCCATCTTCAGTGATGAGTTGTTTGTGGAATGACAAGAAGTGCAGTATTTTCTTGGGTTTACAAGAGGGAGAGCCCTTGCCAAGGGGGAGCTTGGAAATCGAGCCGAGCTTGAGATTGTTGTAAGTAGTCTGTTCAGTCTCAGAACAGAGCCTCTCATAGCAATTGTGCTACAAATGCGTGATATGTGATGGCTCAAACGTGGGGTTGGTCTTGACTACAGCCTGTCAGGGGGCTCTATTACCAATTGATAGTGTAAGGCGCAAGGCTCACTTACCAGAAATTTTCTTGTTTAACTCGCTTGACATGAGGCTAGAAGCTGTTGGAGCTTGAAGCTAAGAGCAGAAACTGTAACTACTAGGTAGGTATAATAGTGGAGGAGGGTCAACTGAGCTCATACTGTGTGTGATCGTATCTTACACTGTCCATCTGCTCCGGATGGCCCATGCTTCTATATGAGCTAACTATGACCTGGCAAAACAGAAACGCCGTGGTTAACGAATCTCTTTGATGATATTGAATAATAAGTTTAGAATCTCTTCCATTAACCCTGGGCAGTTGTGGAGTGTTGCAATAAATCATTGGGTATATTTCGTAACTTGCAGTTCATGACCGTCCGTCTTTTGACGCACGACTATCTCTTGATCGTCTTTCGTCTCTTGATAGTCTTTCGTCCCTCGATATCCGTGGGCTTGAAGCGCTGCTCTTATTATCGGCCGGTCTCAACGCCTCATCACCTTCTTCAATACACTCTTCGACATCACTGCCACCAAGTCCTTTCTCTTTCCATGATTCTAGCAGTTTTCGCGGCATCACCCACTCTTTGCGCGCTTGCGCAATCTTGCCCTCGTTGACAAGAGCACGTAATCTTCCAGGTGTCGCTAGAGCCTGTGCTGCGAGTTCTTTTGTCCGTTGTTGTCTGGTTGCTGCGTCTCGTTTCTTGCCCTCCTCAGAATCTGGTGAGGGAACGGTTTCCCGGAGGGCATCTCGGATGGAAGATGCTTGGCTGTAGATTTGTGCGATTGCCGGGTCGAGTGTTGAGGCCATAGGATTCAAGGGATCCATATTTGCTCTCATCTAGTCACTATTGTCAGTATCGCGACTCTTTGAATAGTAACCAACGCATGACGCACCTTGCGAATAGTCTCTGTTGCTGTAATAAGCTTACTGTAATTGTCGTATACCAACGCCTTCTTCTCTGCATCCAGAGCACGCACTTCTCCCGCAACTCGGGTATATAGCCTCAAAAGCTCTTCAAGGCTGCTCTTCTCAACAATCTTGGCGACATATTCATCGGCGTCAAAGTCAGGGGCATCGATCTCAGTGGCTGGGACTTCAGAATCGGGAATCTCTATACGAGGGGCTGAGGCGCGCAGATTGTAGTACTCCCGAAGGGCAGCGCGATTCGAAGACGTTTTACGTTGCTGTTGCTGAGGAGGCCCAGGAGGCTGTGTAGGTCCTTGTGTGAGAACAGGAGACGCCAGTGCGGACCGAGAGGTTTCGAAGGAGGGACGGTTGGAGTTTGTGGGAGTACGGCGAGGAGGATCGCGTGGTGAGGCTATTGTAGACATTCCTGCGACTTGTCGAAGTTCGGAGACGAACGATGAGGATGATCGTGGCTGGAAGCGTCGTGAGTCTCGGGTTGAAGCTGATGAGCTGGAGGTTTACAAGCCTGCTGACCTGAGCTTGACACGTTGGAGGACCGTTAGTGGTTGATGACCTACAATCCAGGGGCACGGCACGCTAAAGTTTAGGGGATACTCCACTCTCAGCCGCTGAAACGTCATTGAATGCCCTTCACAAGGCTGAGTACGAGCTCCATCTTAGATTTCTCAACACCAAAAGATCAATATTGTGATGGTGTACCAATAACAAAAAAAAAAATGGATCTCGTCGGTCAACTTCGTGCTTCAATATTGGCACAAAATCTTCCTCATCCCTCAACTGCATTTCTCAACTCACTTATAACCACCCGCTCACCTCCCCCACCACTTCCTTCTCTTCTAGCCACTGCCAAAGCTCGATTGCTAGCAGCCGATTTGACCGGCAGTACAATCATAAGCACAGGTTCTCTTCAGAGTTTCCCTTCTGATGCGGACTCTACAGAATCTCGCGAGAAGCGTATCCCAAGACCTGTACATGTGCAAGTGCTCGATATCGAGAATCTTGCCTCGAGTCGCTGGGAACAGGTTGAAGAGATGGAGGCTGTGGCTAGGGGTGAGACTACTCGTGGAAGAGAAGTTGTTCGTGTTACAGCAGAAGACGATGATGAAGATGGCGTTGACGGTCCAACCCAGCGACCCCCTACTTCTCGGAACACAGCTGGCCCAAAACCAGCAGGAAAGAATGCGACGCATCGACTCGTCCTGCAGGATTGTAAAGGAGCAAAACTTTTTGCCCTTGAACTACGACGGTTTGACAGTATCGGAGTTGGCAGGACTCAGATTGGAGAGAAGATCTTACTCAAGGCTGGGACGGTCATTGCCAGAGGAATGATCTTATTGGAGCCGGATAAGTGTGTTATGCTTGGCGGGAAGATTGAGGCCTGGCAGAAAACATGGGTCGATGGACGATTGGCGAGATTGAAGGAGGAAATAGGGCAGGATGAAAGACAGGCATCGTGAGGGCCCAGTGGATTTACATTTGATACCCCTTTTCAAACAACTTTGTGCATACAGACATCCCCTATACACGTATTTCTTCTATGACGCCATATACTACTCGTTGATGGTGTTCCAAACTATCCTCGTACAGATTTACATTCGCTAAATGCCTTCAGTGGCGGCGGCCAGCGATGTCCAGCCAGCCTGTTCCCAAGGCGCCAAGAAGGCTGCCCGCTGAGCATCTCCAGCAGTAGATGTTCCAGCATATGCCTTTGCTAGATCCTGGGCTTCCAACAACCCCTTTGGAGGAATGCCCCTTGCTGCGACCTTGAGCGCCATCTGAGCCGCGTACTCGTCGCCGGTAGATTGGGCCAGAGCAGACCAACCATGAGGTAGGTCAGGATAGAGCATGATATCTGTCTGTTCCTGTGTTCTCATATCCTCCTCCGTGCGTCCTTCTCCAAGCGTGGCAATGGCACGTAGTGCTTCGCCAATGTGCGACTGCTCTGAGGCTGTTACCTTGTGATTGGTGCGAAGACCGTTAAGTTCTTCGACAACTGCTTCCAAAGAATCCTCGTCGTTGTCCAACAAAGCCACCACACCAAGAAGAAGAACCGACCGTACATGTTCAGGGTGTTTTTCAATCACCTCAAACAATGCTTCACGAGCTCTCTCTCGGGACGACTCGGCTCCCTGAGCCCAAAGTACTTGAGCCAACAAGCATACAGCATCGGGGTTGCCAGTAGACTCCTCCAGAGCAGACTCGAAATACGTGATCGCTTCATCGAACTGGTTGTTGTAGTACTGCGCCAATCCTACAGTGAGATGTGCAGACAAGCGAGCTCTCTTGCGTTGTTCACTTGAGAGCTCGTTCTCTGCCTCCTCGCTGCTCAAGCCCAGTGCTAGCTCGCCACACTCAACTGCCTTCTCGTATGAGCCAGAAGCGAGGTATGCTCGTGCTAGATCCGTTTTGGCCAGAGCAAACTTGGCAAGACTTTGAGGGGATTCGGTGCTTTCGTAATCGGCCTCAACGGTCGAGGAGATTTTTTCTAGCGTATCAACAGCACGGCTGCTCTCTCTGGTACGCTCTTGAAATAGTGTCGTCAAGTGACCAAATGCCAGGTCATCGGATTTGAGGCTTTGATGTTGGTTGAGAGCGAAGAGTGGTTGAATGAGCGATTCAACGTTAATTTCATTGGGAGGCGATGAAAGAATATGATCGAAGAGGGAGCTTGAGTAGTGACGCCTGGTAGGTACTGAAGATGCATCTGCAATCTCCATTGCGTGGGTGAATAGTCCTCGGGCTTCTTTAGCATCACCATGAAGAAGAGCCACAAATCCCTGCCCTAGCCAAGCGTGTGCATAGTCAGGGTCAGTTGACTGGGCCCTCGTGAAGACCTCGTTAGCTAGCTCGACATCTCCGGACAAAAGGGCGAGAGTTCCCAAATTCGTCCAGGCCGCAGGGCTTCTCTCGTTCAGGTACAGACTTCGGGCGAAAGCATGCTGTGCTACTGTAGGGTTGATCTTGCTGGTTACTACGCCCAGAGCATTCCAAAACTCCGAATTCCCAGCTTCTAACTCGATAGCACGCTTGAACGACCTCACCGCAGCTTTGACGTAGCTGCTGGACTTCTTCCTGATCTCAGATGGCAGGCAAATATGGGCGCGATGTTCAGCCCATCCCAAATTGTAATAAGCCACGGCTTGCGCGTGGCGATCATTGGACGAAATGTGAACACCTTGCTTGTGGCACAAGATCGTAGCGTGGATACATCGAGTGAGATCAACCCCAGGCTGCTCATCATCTGCGTACAAGCCCTTTGCGAAGACCACATCAGTGCCAACCTTATCAACACTGGCGAAAATCTCATAAGCGTCCTGTGAGCCCTTCTTAAGAAGCTCACTGATGGATTCGCAGGGCATATCACGCGTGCGACTCTGCACAGAAGAGAAGACAGAGCAAGCATCAGCTATAGCTTTCCAGAAGTTGAAAGTCTCAAGAACACTGCCTTCGGTTGTCTTGGCATACTCAATGGTCTCGGTTGCAAGCTGGACTGCTTTTCCGAATAACCCTTTCTCGACAGACGAGAGGGCGTTGTCGACTGTTGTTTGAAGCAAGGCGATAATAACGCCTTCCTCCTCAGGGTGCGTTTCAATAACGGACCTGTAGAGAGCGATAGATTCGTCGTACTCGCCCAGTTCACGCTTGATGTTAGCAAGCATATACTTGGTAAACCAGGTGTCTCCGGAAATATCTGCTTCGGTTTCTTCCTCTAGCCTTTGTGCATTCAGAATAGCCTTAGTGGCAGCAATGTGCCGACCGGAACTGTGGTAGCTCTCCCCAAGACCGACCCAGCAATGGTAATCTTCAGGGCTAATACGGAGCGCTGCTTGGAAAGACACAATAGCCTTATGAAAGTCTTGCTTATTTAGCTCAGCCACGCCGAGCGCAGCAAATGGCCAGCTAATGCCCTTCCTCTTAGATCCTGGTGGCGGCTTCACCTTGCCAGAGTCAACAACTCGGCGGGCGACGAGCTCGACTCTATCCCAGTCTCCGTCGTCCGCAAAAGATCGTGCAAGTCTTTCGGCGGCAACCACTTCCGCATGAGACAGTTCCAGTGCTTTCTGGAAGCAACGTCGTGATCTGCCTTTATCCTTCGCATAGTCTGCATAGTATATTCCTAGGTACGTGTATGTGGGTGCGTAATTAAGGTTGTTGTTCAGGGCACTAAGCCAGTATGCATATGCGCACTCTCCTTTTCGTTGTTTTCGTGCAGCCTTACTAGTGTCGATGTTCCAGAGGCAAACTCCCAGGCGATGCTGCGTCTCACCCAGCAACTCCTTTGATGCAGTACCTTGCTTTTCCAGCGGCTCAAGACATTCGTGCAGTTCATCCTTTGCGGTTTTCCAATCTCCCTTGAGTGCTTTGACCCAGGCGGCCTCGGACTTTACCCTGATGTTTGTTTGGTCACGTTCCAGAGCCCGAGTAAGATATTCAATAGCTTCATCATACTCCTCCTCTTCCTCGTAAATCAGTCCAACGCCGATCAAGGCGGAGGTGGAAGTGTTGTCCCGCTCGAGAACTTTGTCAAACAGCTCCTTCGCCTCTTTGTGGTGTCTGGGAGATTGGTAGTAGACTAGTGCTGTTCCGAGCGAAAGGTAATAAGAGTCCTCGGCGTTTGCGAATGAAAGGCCTGTCTTCTTACGCTCCTGTGTTAATAGAGCCGAACCCTTGCGCATAAGCTCAACAGTACTCTCATACTCTCCAAGGTGAAGAAGATATTGACCAGTGAGTCGGTACGCGAGAACAGAATCAGCAGTGATAATGCCTTCGGTTATCATGATGAGTCGATCCTCGTCAGTCAAAGGAACCACAAGGGTGGGAACTCCGCCGTCGTCGTCGTCAGAGCTTTCGTCTGACTCACTTTGGGCTGCCTTGGCCTTTTCTTGTGGCTTCTCTGGTGGGAATGGTGAGATTGGGCTTGTCAGGTAACTTGTGATAACTTTGTAAAGATCACTGTCGGGAAAAAATGAACAGTACGCTCGAAGGACATCCACGTCCAATTCTCGAATCTCCTTCTTGTCCTGCCACTCTATAGAAATATCCCAAGCAAGCTTGTATGGATATCTTATGGCAACCATGCCGTTGGCAAGATCGAGCACTTTCTGACGTTCGGCGTCCTTTTCAGCGCCCGTTGGAGCGACCAGGAGACGATCATAACAGAGCTGGAGAAGTTTTTCTTCATACTGCCGTCTCAAATCATCGTCATTTGTCCAGTTGATTAGTTGCCGATAAATATGCTCAAGTTTACTCTGGCTGTAAACTTCCCGCTTGGCGTCAAGGGTGACCTCGGTGAGTTTAGCGCCCAGTTTGGTTCGTCGCTCTCCGATGAGAGTATTTATTCGGTGTTTCTCAGCCTTCTCTAAAATGTGCGCTACCGTCTCATATGTCTTTGCTGGGTGTGGGAACCGGCCCTCGAGGATGGGGTATAGAGGGCTTTCGGGGAGTTGGATCGAAAGTGCTTCAGCATATTGGGTCTCATCGCCTTGGACTCTTGCAAAGTCGACAAATTTGTCGACAACATCTTGGCACTTGTACATATCATCGGCATCTCGATAAATCTGTGCCAGATTAACGACTGCCTGGTGGTAATCTGCCAGCTTCTTGTTGCTTTGCTTCTCAAATAGCTTGATCAAGCCCTGCCATGCTTGTGCTTCCTGGGGACGAAGCCACGTTGCAGATCGATAAGTCTCTTGAGCTAGGTCAAGCCTGTCCTTTTTATCCAAGGCAAAGGCTAGGAAAATGTGTCTAGAAAGATTGTCAGCTTGAGCCGCTCATGGCGGGGTACTGCAGCTCTCTGTTGCACATATTTGGTATTCTCACGCTTGGTAGTTCTTGGGATCCTTTTCCAGAAGTTCCTTTGCCTTGCTCACCGCATCTTCAAACTTTTGCTGGCGAATAGCATCGTTAATGGCCTTGAGGGTTGCCTTTGTCCCTGACATGATGGCTAGATTTCTGTTGTGTTGGAGGACACCCCCACCAAGCTCGTGGAAGTTCCCTTTGCTCTCTTGATGCTTTAAGCTGAAATTTGTGGTGGACCTTTAGATGTCTCAGCCAACGAAATAGTTCAGTCGAGTGAAGTCAACAAGTCCAAAAGACAACGCTCCAAAGTACATTGAATGAATGGATCATACATAATAGCCAGGCTATTGCAGGTGGAACTGCTCTGTGGATGAATTATGTCATTCGAAGCTCACTGATAGCCGAAGATGTCCCGCCTAGGTACATATGTCTTGGGTCCCACCTCGCAAACTAGCACTATCTGTAGAGTGAGTGAGTACCTTAGATATACTAGTAAGGTATATTGCCTTATATATCTAGTCAAACTTTCATCCATGTATAGGGTTTGATAGAAATGTTAGGTGGAAGTTTGAAGAGTGCATTTATTATTAAACCTGAACTTGGTTATAGATATAGGGTAGCATGGGCTAAGGTAAAGTTCACAAATAAGGATACTCCCCCATCAAATTTCCGTCAATAGTGCGATATAGCTCTGCGAGGGCAGTAGCAGGACAGTCATCTCCGCCTCTATATGGCCTATCGTCCTCATCGACCACCCCTGGATAGGGCTCCGCAGGATAGTCCCATTTTGGATCGATCATCCTCACGAGGACATTGGCAAGATGAGGCTCATCCAATTCGATGTCGAGGCCGAAAGAAAAGTTGGCCAATCTGCTGATTGCTTTTTCGTCAAGAAGGATGCATGCTGAGAACCTGCTTGTACCAATTCCTCTGAACATGAGGTCATCTTCGAGTACCCCGAGACTTCTGAGATGAGCACGGAATTCCTCCCTCACTCGATCTTCTGATGCGTTCTCTAGAGCCTCTTTGTCTTCAATGACTTCAAGCTTGAATCTTTTAGTTGCTTCCTCACTATAGAGAGAAGGTGACATTAGCCTCAGGCTTCTGAGTGTGGCCTGGACCAGGTTCTCCATGGCTTGGTTGATGTTTTTGCGCGCCAGACTGGAATAAGATGTGACGAAGACGAAATAACCCCACGTTGGGTCCGTGGCTGCCTGTCCGAGTGGTCCTCGTGTCTTATTTTGATGTGCCTCTACGGCGGAGAGAAGCTTGCGCACATCGTCAGACCTCTTTCGGTAGCCGAACCAGTCTTCATTGTCGCGGACCCACCGATTGAAGGGTCTCTCCCTTTCAAACACTTGACTATCGAATTCAGGTTCATGACTATAGTCTGAGGGCCTGATATCCAGGTCGACATCACTGAGATCCCGGGCTGTTTTCTGAATGGCTGGATCAGCACCAGGACCGAATGAGCGGATTTTAAAAGAGCGCTTGTGAGGGACAGGGCGGATTTCGAGAGAAGGATCTCGTGGCGGAAAATCCGTTATAGGAAAAGAAGAGCTCATACTGTGCAGGAAATACAGGAAATGCAGGAAGTGATAGTCGAGTGTGAGTGAGTGTGGGTAATGGGAGGAAAGGCAACAATTATTGTGGTAAACAAGAGAGTGTAATGTCGACTGGGTAGTATAAATACTGATCTCAGCAATGCCATCCACAATCCTGGTTTCATTACAGGTAGTTTGCCGAATCAGATCGTATATGACATGGCGTTTGCATAATCATCAACGGATAGCAACATGGCTCGTTACCTTAGTAGTACCTACCTAGGCAGAAGCCCAGGCAGTAGGTAAGTGCTTTATGGTAAACCAATGAAAAGCCAGCGTAAAACATACAGCCAACAAACTTACACAGATCCTTGGACAAAAAGTCAGGTGCATAAATAGAAACTTCGCTTCCAAACTTTAGGCTGTAGGTTAGTTTGAGATACTCACTATTGATTCAACAGGCATGTCATGTTAAGCCACTCTAGGGGAGGAAAGAAAACTCGGCACCTTGATCCTCAATGATAAAAGGACCTAGATAACGTAGTAAAATTTGAGAATGCATTCTGCTAATGATTTTGACATCCTATATCAAGGTCTGGTATTTTCTTGCTCCCTAAGACCACTGTAGTATAAGTAACGCGAAAGAGTGAGTACATCAGCTCACACCATCTTCATGCTGAACTTCATAAGACTGCGGCAACTGTAATTTGATACTGAAATACGCCGTCATAGAGCGTCAAAGCCTATCCTCACCAGTCATTATTTGTCGGTTTGCTTGTCACCCTCTTCATATCATTCACTGGGTACAACAGTCAGTCCAGGTGTTATACCAAAGTTTTGCAAAACAGTCTAACTACTCATGTTGAGCCTTCATTAAACAATCTAAAAGCCAGTTACGAGATATATAAATCTGACATTTAGTGAGTGTCGAACCAAAGTAAGGTTTATTAAGCTTTCATCTGAATCACGAGCTGCCCTACACGTGCGCACATAAACTTCTCTCGACGTCGTTTCGAACAGGTGTTTTTATAATCTGGCTGCCTACACTCTCTAACACGGCCTAGTCGATCCGCCTACATGGTCCCATTACACGAGGATATCTTCGCGTCTTGTGACCATGATCCCGAACCCGAGTCTGGGCCTTTCGAAGAAATTTTTGATTTTTTCTGCACACCAGTAGTAAGACAGTGTACTCAATGCCAGAAACTCGGTAGGCGCTGTTTCCGGTGCCGTTTGAAGCTAGCATCAGGGGAAGAGACTAAGGAATCTACCAAGTCAGCACTTGAACTCGTTGTTACTTCTCAAGGTGCTCAAGGTGCTCAAAGAAACAACGAATCTGATGATACTATCCTGGAGCCAATCCCAAAACCTACCAAAGCCAAAATGAAACGATACGGCCACAAAAAGTTGCACAGAATGGAGAAATTCCGAGCGCCATCCCATGGTCCAGTTTCAAGTCTCAACTACGAGATTGCTCACAGACTACCCCCAAGAATAGAACCGAGAGCTTTCATACTTCTTCCCACGAGACATACTTTTACGATGGTGCAATAACGAGCAACACTCAACACTACGAAAGCAGTGTTTCATCCCGCGGTGCTAACATCCAGTCTAGGGCGAACGATGCCTACCCCAAACTAACTTGTTACTTACATAACTATCGTTCTTCTCAGATGAAGGAACTAGCTCCTGGACCTCCATTCTATCATCGATCGGGCGCAGAGATTGAGGTAGCCAAGATAGACAGAAACTGGTACCTCGTTTCGACAAAGTGTCACGTTAAGAAACACGACAACGGCGGCATTACGCACAATCATGAACACCGACATTGGACAGAGCCCTTCGGGGAACCCACTCATTGCAATAATTGTAGGTCCCTCAAGGAGGAGGAGGCCAACATTCCTGGGTTATTTTTGCTCTAGCATATATGATTTTGGGAGATCAGCTGTACACTGGCTGCAAGACAGGATCACTGATGTGAAGCATTCGGATGGAATCGACTAGCGGAGCTATCTATACCATCACATAGAACTTCTTGCTGTGCCACTGAAGAGGTGAACTGAGACACTGGCATGCCCATAAGGAGAATGGCTTGCATGTGAATACCACCAACATGCAACCACCAAGATCGACAACCGAGTCGCCACAGGGCCCGCACACACCTTATCTTTGTATACGAAAATGGAAGTTCCACTTCCATGGGGTTTTCGCATTCAAGGCTGGTTTTCGGAAAAGAAGTCATATCGTTGGTTGGGGGCGGATATTTCGGAAAGGAGGCACTTAGCATAAATGGCTCGTATGTCATGGCGGGCATAACCGAATTGGAGTAAATTGGGGGCCAGCCGTTCATCGGACGTGTGTATATACCCAAAATTTCCCTGATTCGGGTGGTTTGTCTCTTCAACATTCCTATATCATGAGAAAGCAGAGCCGATATTCTTTGATCCATAGTCAACATATTTTGACCGACACTTTCGCCGCGAGCCTCGATATCTATTCGAAAGGAACATCACAACGGGGATTTCTGAAACAGCACCATTAGGCCAATTCACGAAATCATCCAGTGCGACAGCAGAACAGTGAAGATTCGGTTTTGTTCATTCTTCCATTCTATCTTTGTTATCACTCAGGCTGCCGACTTATTTCCACCGGCCAGTCCAGCCAACCTATCAAATCCGTATCTAACAAGCCTCTTATCGTTTCGAGCAGATGCGTGGCCCACCCTTCCATAAACCATGACCTTTTCATTGTCCTGAACAAAGGGACGTAATACGCCATCAAAAGCAGAGCCTGAGGTGCCTTTCGCTGAAGACAGCCAACAAACAGATCTTGCATGCGGTACAGCCAGCCAAACACAAACTTGTTCATCATTGGGACTTGGACAAGTCCCTCAGCGTTGCCAAAGTTGGCCTCGTAAACATCGCACAAGCTTTTGTGAACCCTTAGATACAGAGCAGTATCTGGGTTCTCATGAGACGCTATCCATAGTCGAAGCTTCTCAAGTGGCCCAACCCAATCAATGTACGAGAACCCCATAACCATAAAATCAGGTTTTGTATCTTCCATCTCTGAATTTGTGCCACCGCCGCCGAGAGGGGCCATGAGGCCCGTAAAGAGCGTTGCCGGCTCGATGCTCTGTCGGATCAACCGGACTCCATGAATCACAGGAAGCCATCTTTGTGAGATTCCCTCGCCAATGACACACACAAGAAGGTCGTCGGGACCTGTTGGGCCAGCTGCAAAGGTGCAGTAGCAGACGAGCACCGCTGCGACATAGAGAGCGCCGCAATTTGCTTCGTTAAGGTTCGTTAAAGTCCTGTTCATTTCGTAAATACCGAGCTCAGCATGATGCGCCGCAAGAGCGAGGCTCTGGGAATGCCGCTCAGTCCCCTTTGGTTCTTGGTATACCAGATGATACCCTGCCAGAGCATACATCATATGAAGGACGAAGTGATAGGAAAGGCCGATCTGGGGGACATTTCGCGCCCAGAACGATGCGATATCATCGACAGGGTCGTCAGCATCGTGTAAGGTCCTTGAGGTATTGGCCATGAAGTGGAAGAGCAACTCGGCATCAGCAATATTTAAGGAACATATTTGTGAGTTTGATATGGTTGAAGAGGAAACTGGCGTAGCTGACGTCGAAGACGGCGATGTTGTCGTCCTGTCTGATGCTGGCGGGGGAGGAGGTGGTGGTCGCGTGAGTGCAGCCCAGTCCTTGCGTGGCCTTCCAGGACCACGTCGCGGTGTCGTGGCAGGTTCTGCTAAAACTGATAGTATCTCCGGGGGAGAAGTGTGCGGCGCTGAGTCGTCACTAGAAGGTGGTTGTGGTGCGAAATCGCAGGGTATGCCAAAGCGCACGCAGTTGGCACAAGCTGGCTTCACCTCGTCACACTGGGGGTCTTGTCAGCTCTGATCTGGGACATTCGGAGACTTTATTTTTCATCTTTTTTTTTCTCTGGGAGGACTCACCTTTACTTTTCTCCTCTTGCAGTTGAAGCATCCGTTTCTCGATTTACGGTGTGGTCTTCTGGCAAGCTTGGAGACCCGCGCAGAGGAGATGCTCTCTGGACCAGTTGGCTGAGGCGTCGTTGACTTGCGCATGCTATCTACCTTATATGACGATGCAGTGTCTGTGAATATTATATAGAGAATGGCCAGATCATCCAAAAAGCCCCAGCGGCTATAGAAGTACGCAACGAACCACGAGTAGGAAACACCAACTCTAAGTGCTTTTGCTTTCAGGCGTCGTCATGGGCTTCAAGACCCTTCCCGAGGTGACCGGGCGATGTCTCCGTATCTGCGGACGGAAGCGCCGGACGGTCTCAGCTCTTGGACCGGGAGAGTCCAAAACACAAAAACGATGAAATTCGAGTCCGGTATTCAGAATCCGACAAGTCCCAACTCTTACCGGATCGCCGAATGTGATGTTCGTAGGGGTATTTGGAGTTGATGATCTATTAGTCCAGCCACAACCGGAATAGTAGCAGTGCCGGCAAATGTGTGTGGGTCGGTGACAGATGATTTTAGAGTTGATATCCTCGACCCGAGAATGAAATAAAATCTGATGTGAAGCAAGGGTTCTCAGCTTTATGACAAGAGCGTCTAGAACAAGAAAGGCAGGCTGTTGATTCAAGTAAAATAAACAAGAAAATGGGGGATTGGTTGGGCGAGGGGAGCAAAGTAAAGTAGGCAGCTCCAGCGGAGTTAACTAACGGCGACGGGTTTTCGCATTTGTAATTGCGTAAAATGTCCGATTTGCGAGGTCGTAAAGCTATGCCTGATTCGGCCAAAGGAATCGGGCTGTCGTTAGTATCTGACCAAGTTCTCACTCTTGAGTGCAAAACGTAAGAGGAGAGGATGAAGCTGACGAGATCATTTGGGGCTGCATAGGGAGGGAGTCTCACACACTCGCACCCGCGGTTTGAACTATTTACGAGGTTCTAAGTTTCTATTCTTGTTGCACAACTATAACTGCTACCTAGGTAGAATTCGTGTTAGACCTTCCGAGGGGGGGGGCTTTCACGGACTCTCGGACAACTTTGCTTCGCTTACACGAGCGACAGCAGATCTGGCTGACTAAATTTGCCTGGGTGCAGCATTCGTTTTAGCGCCTAAATAAAGCCACCATCGGACCCATGGATGACGAATACGATTGATTGATTGATATGCTCGGAACTTTTGGTCATTATTCACGTTTTATATCCGAATTTTCTTAAACTGACAGGGCATTCTCGCTTTCTTTTACCCCCCCAAGCTTTCGAGGGTACTGCTTTTAAGTTTAATTGCAGTGGTCATGCATTTTTTACTCACCTGCCCGCTACTATGCCTCATGTTTCACTATACGATCAATATTCACTCCCGTGACGTCTACGGAGACTTATCTAAACACGATCACTAATTCTTATCTCAAGTGGCTTGCTGATATTAGAGCGAATACGGATTCAAATCGGCTGATGTTCGGGTCGCTCATAGACTCCGGATAGTGGGGGACATTGCCCGTAGATGATGGTCTATGATAATGAGACTAACAATGCATGGCCCTCATGACCTCGGAATCAAGAAGGATGAGACATTGAAAGATTGAATGCCTTTAGATGCCATTCTAGCTTCCCCATACTCCTAAACGCCGAAGACATAGTAAACTATTCCAGCTTCTCCATGATATACACCCCTTCCAGTCTATATTCCGCTGACTAACAAGGGTCCTCCTATCCCTGTTTGTCCCCAGGCGCATACGGTACCCAGCCTTGAACGTCATCGTCAAGTGGTTGCCCCAGCTAACCAGACTTGGCCTATTTCCCAGTTTCCCCTTCAGCTCCGCATTCTCGCTCTCTCAACACCAGCATAGCGGTCTAGAGAAGGGCAAGTCATGTCGTCTTTTCGCCTGTTGATTGAAGATGGTCAGTTCCGTGATGGATACGGTCGACAAGTAGTCCTCCGTGGCATCAACCTCGCTGCCGATGCCAAACTCCCCAGCGAACCCGATCAACCATCTCACATTCCCACTGACTTTTTCGACGGTGATAATGTATCATTCCACCAGCGCCCCTTCCCCAAAGAAGATGCACGATCTCATTTTGCGCGCCTCAGACGATACGGCTTCAATACTATCCGCTACATCTTTACCTGGGAGGCACTCGAGGCCGCAGGACCTGGGAAATACGACGAAGACTTCATCCAGCATACGATTGATATTCTGAGAATAGCAAAGGAGTATGGATTCTATATATTCATGGACCCTCACCAGGACGTTTGGTCTCGTTTCACTGGTGGTTCGGGAGCGCCGCTATGGACTATATATGCATGCGGCCTCAACCCTCAGAGCTTCGCCGCGACTGAAGCAGCAATTGTTCAGAATACATACCCCAACCCTGATGAGTTCCCAAAAATGATCTGGTCTACGAACTACTATCGACTTGCAGCTGGTACCATATTCACTATGTTTTTTGCTGGCAAAGACTTTGCTCCAAAGTGTATAATTGACGGTGTGAACATCCAGGATTACCTACAGGACCATTTCATGAGAGCATGCGGCCAACTTGCCCAGCGAA